ATTTGTAATTTTTTTCATTCTTTGTTGTTGTTGTGTTAATGTTGTTGTTGTTGTTGTTGACGATATGTTTGTATCATATAAAATTCAATTAGATGTGTTTTATTGATAAATATACGAATGTGTGAATGTATGTGTGTTTGTTTGTGCGTGCTTGTTTATGTGTGTATTTATCTATGTGTGTATGTGTGCGTGAGTATGCATGTAATAAAACATAAACAAAACAAAAAACATAGAAAGAAGAATATAGATATATAAACCTTGATAATACTAACTAACTTACATAGAGAAAAGAATATAAATGAAAACAACATGAACAGTGTAATACATATAAACAGCATAGACAGCCTAGCGAACATAGGAAAAAGAACATAGATATAAAAACAAAACCTACACAGTGCAGCAAACATAGAAAGAGGAACATAGATAGATAAGTTGATTAATGAAAGTTTATTGGAGCTATCGAGTAGCCCCTCTCTCACCCCAGAGACATAGAACTATAAATTTGTCCGCCATTTTTCTTTTCTATACTTATTTAGGATCTTTTTTCTATTTTTTTTGTTTTTTTAGTTTCTTACTCAGATTTATTCAATTTTTTTTGTAAGGTTGTTGTTTGTGTTGAAAATGAAGAAGATGATGAGAATGATGATGTTGTTGCTGATGTTATTGTTGTTGTTACGAATGTTGTTGTTGTAGAGTGAAGAGCAAAGAAAATAAAACAATCGCCAGCAAAGAAACTAAATACCAACGACCAAAGAACTCAAATGGACAACAAAGAAATGAAATAATAAATGGCAAAGGCTATTAATCGTTAGTAGAGCGAATCAAAGTTGAAAAGAAACTTTAGAAACGTTCGTTCGCCATAGATATAAGAGTAGAGATGTGCCGTTACTTTGTTTATTTCTTTGGTTAACTATGTCAGAACGGTTTAGTTGTATCTATGTTTCGATGTCTATGTTTATTAATTTTGTTAGCTGCTGTTTATTATTATTATTATTATTGTTATTATGATTTGTAGTGAACTTATAATTTGATTATTGTTTTAATAGTGTTATAATAATAAAATAATAATAATAATATAATAATAATAAGTGTTCTAGAGTGCAAAACAATAATCATAAAAATTATATAATAAAATTTCCAACGAATATAAAACCTACCAAAGAACATATAGAAACATAAACATCCGATTCCATAGACAATTAAATAACTGTCGATCTTATATCGCTCAATAAAATTTCTATTGCCTCTTCGCTTTTGCTTTTGGGTGGCTATGATGATGATGAAGATGATGACGACGACGATGATGATGATGATAGTAGCAATAATAGTGATGATAAGTTTTTGCCAAGGTACTCATATACGTTGGAAAGAATTATTTCATCATTATTATCTTCATCATCATCGTCGTTGTCATCATCGTCATCATCGTCAGCACATCCCCAGTTTTGAAATTATAGAAAGGATATCTCTTGGTGAAATTGAAACGTAAAAGAATAAATGAATGAATGAAAAAAATCTTCAAACTCTTTTTTTGTCTTTCTCTCTGTCATCTTCTGTCTCTTCTCTTTCTCTCTTTCTCTCTCTTTCTTTCTTTCTTTCTCTCTCTCTCTTCTCTCTCTCTCTCTCTACTCAAAATGAAGGAAAATATGTCCACCTGACAGTTATAGTTGAAGCTGCTTGAGTAAAAAAAAACAAAAAGATAGATAGACAAAGAAAAAGAGAGAGAGAGAGAGAGAAAGAGAGAGAGAGAGAGAGATAGTGAAAAGACATATCTTATTACACGCAGTTAGGAAATCTGTTTCCGGTTGGAGGTGATAATTACGCGATGATGATGATGATAATGATGATGATGACGATGATGATGATGATGAATATTTTTTTTATTATTATTATTGTTATTGTTATTATTATTATTATTGTAAATATAATTGTCAAAATTAATTTGCAGTTTTCACAACGCAATGGTCGCAATGGTGGGCATATAGCGGGATTTCAGGTATCATCATCATCATCTTCATCGTCATCATCATCATCATCATCGTTACCATCATCATCGTCATCATCATCGTCGTCATCAACATCACTATCACTATCATCATCGTCGTCATCATCATCATCAATGGAGTCGATGAACATTATCCGTCATGATAAATAGTCGTATGATATAACACAAGATGGCGGGTCAGCAGGCCAACTTGATATCGTGTCACGTGTTTCCGGTGCTGCGATGAAGATGATGATGACGATGATGATGACGATGACGATGGTAGTAGTGACTATGGCTTATGGTAACGGTATCATATGTAGTCATGGCTGATGATGCCATACTGATTGTGATAATCACCATGATGATGACGATGTTGATGATGACGATGAAGATGACGATGATGATGAAGAAGTAGAAGAAGAGAATGCATGAAAAATATTTTTTAATAATTGCACTGGCTGACTCTGTCAGTATTCAACGCGTCGTTGTCGTCATCATCATCATCATCACCATCATCATCTTTTTCAATATAATTATCATCATCATCATTAAACATCATCATCATCATCAACATATTCTTCTTCGTCATCGTCATCATCATCAAACATCATCACCATCATCACCATATTCTTTTTCGTCTTCGTCATCGTAATCATCATCAAACATCATCATCGTCATCGTCACCATACTCTTCTTCGTCATCGTCATCATCATCGTCGTCATCCCAACATCAATTTTTAGTGTATTAGTGCCGGCATATTGCACAATCTATTGTGAGTCTTAGTTAGTGTCGGTTGTGGAATTGAGTTGTTGATGATGATGTTGTTGTTGTTGATGATGATGTTGTTGATAATGATGATGATGTTGTTGATGTTGTTGTTGATGATGATGTTGTTGATGATGATGTTGTTGATGTTGATGTTGATGATGATGATGTTGTTGTTATTGTTGCTGGCGACGACGATGTTGTTGGTTCAGGTGGTGATGATTTTTCTTCGTTGCGGTTGTTGTACGTAAGTCCTTCTTTAAGTTAATTTGTTTAAAAACCTAATCTAATTATCATCATCATCGTCATCATCATCGTCGTCATCATCATCACCATCATTTACATCATCATTATTATCATCGTCATCACAATCATCATCGACATCACAGAACAAATCTCAACAATTTCACTTGCCGTTATTTAACGTCCATCCATCTATCATTACATCCATCCATCCGTCCATCTATCTTTTTATTCATTCTTTTATTTATTCATTCATCCATTTATCCATCCATCCATCCATTCATCCATCCATCCATTCATCCATCCATCCATCCATCAATCTTACTCTATCATCCATTTGTCTGACCATTCTTTTAGCTTATTATGCGCTTATGTTTTTCGTTGTAACCATTCGTTCATTTATTCAATCTTTCGTTCATTATTCTTTTAGCGATTTCTTCCTTCATATGTTCATTCATTTATTCATTCATTCATCCATTCATCTATTCATTCATTCATTCATTCATCCATTCAATCATTCATTCATCAAATTTAAATTAGAAGTATTTTTTTTATTTATAATTATTCACTCGATCATCAGTATATCCATTCATTCACTCATTCGTTCACTCATTCGTTCTTTCATTCATTCGTTCGTTCGTTCGTTCATTCGTTCGTTCGTTCATTCATACCTCCATCCATCTATCAACGTGTAAGTAGAGATGAGCCGAAAACTTTAAACCAAGAAAGAAAAAAAAAATTTTGTTGTTGTTGTTGTAGGTGATGTAATTGTTGTTTTTGTTGTTGCTTTTGTTGATGTTGTTGTTGTTAATGCTGCTGTTGTTGTTGTTGTTGATGTTGTTGTTTCGCCAAAGGTAACTTTAGTATCTTTCGTTGCTGTATAGTTTGCATAGTTTTTTTTATCAATCATCACCATCACATTATCATCTTTTTCATCATCATCTTCTTCTTCATCACCATCATCATCTTCATCACCGTCACATCTTCTTCTTCATCATCATCACTATCATCATCACAATCACCATCATCATCGTCGTCGTCATCATCGTCACTCCAGCACATATTAATTCATAAAAAATTTTCATTGGTCGAGGCGGGCATGGCATATATAAATATTATTGAATATTAACGACCGTTTATGAATAAATTTGCATATTAATGAGGCCCCAGACGGGCCAATGCTTGAAAGCTTACCATATTTTATTCCGTGTTTTATGTCTGCGTTAGTATGTGCACGTGTGATTGTATGGGTTGTATATATATATATATATATATATATATATATATATATATATGTTTGTGTATATACTAAAACACAATCAAACACAGAATAAAACATACAAACATGCACACATGCTTACACACGCATGGATACAAACATACAAGCATACACGAATTCATACATACATGCATACATACCATAGGTACAAACATTATTCAACAAATATACACACTTATATAAATGCCGTAGATGTAAACATACAACAAAGATACACACTTACATACACACAAAGAGTCCAAATTTTGGCCCGAAACATACATACATACCACAGATACAAACATTCAACAAACACACACACTTACAAACATACAAAGGGCCTGAATTTTGGGGCAACATAAACCCGGAATGGTACATTTGTAACAGGGGCAAGCACCAATCACCAATCAGCATCGATCCGAGTCAGTTACTCTTTGACCCCAACCTCAAGCCCTTCAAAATTGATAAGCATAAGGTTGATTGATTGGTTGGCTGATTGGTTGATTGATTGACTGGCTGGTTGATCGATTGGCGTGCTGGTTGGTTGATTGGTTTTTTGACTGGTTAGCTTGAATGGTTGTTTGGCTACTTTGTTGGCTATTAGTTTAGCTATTTAATTTTGTTGAAAGAAAATTGATTGACTGATTGTAACATTTTAAAATAACTAGTTAGTTTGTTGATCGATTGCTGTAGTAACAGTAGCAGTAGTAGAAGGAGTATCAACAGAGTAGTAGTATTTTCACGCGCTATAACAGTTTTACTTTTTAAAACTTTTAAAAAACCCAGCACATCACTGGTCATTTAATAAACAATGGCCGCTTCCTGACCATCGCCATTGACGTCAGCACCATCGCCAATTATATAAACATAAGTGGCGGCCCACTGGCTTACTATTACAGGTTTTTTTCTCGAACATTCTACTCTTTTTTATCTTCCCTTATCCATCCATTCATCTATTCGTTCATTCATTTTTTTCATTCATTCGTTCGTTCGTTTGCTCGTTCTTTCGTTGGTTCGTTCTTTCGTTCGTTCGTTCATAATATTATTCATTCATTCATTCAATCGCAGGGCTTCCAACATACTGATCTACTTCAGCAAGGAAGTAGACCAGCACGGATCGGAGCATCGGATCACCGGAATGAACTTTTCCGCTGAGGTAAATTAGTGAATGGATGGATGGATGGCTGGATGAATGAATGGATCGATGAATGAATAATTTAAAAAATGTTTAGACAAATGGATGGAGAAATGGATAGATAAATGGCTAAAAAAGGATCAAACAAACGAATGAATAAATTAATGGATGGATGAATGGAAAAAATATGATGGAAAAAAAAAGAATGGATAGGTGAATTTATGGATGATTGAATGAATGAATTAGTGAATAAAATACGAATAAAGGGATGAATATATAAACAAATGAAAAGACATGAACACACACACTTACATGTACACACGCACACACATGCGCGCGTACTCACACACACACGTACACACATAAAAGATAGGTGACCACTATTCTTTCTACTCAATAATATGACCACACAGAGGTCATCTGAGACTGGGTATTTGTCCTTCGAGAGAGAACATCACTCGTTATCATCTTCATCGTCATCATCATCTTCTTCATCATCTTCATCGTCATCATCTTCTTCATCATCTTCATCGTCATCATCATCTTCTTCATCATCTTCATCGTCATCATTATCTTCCTCATCATCTTCATCGTCATCATTATCTTCCTCATCATCTTCATCGTCGTTGTCGCCTTCCCCCATCATTTCAGTTATAGTAATTACTGTGGTAATTATCACCATTGTCATTAGGACAGCATAGCCAGCATGCAACCATGTGGCAGTCTTGTAATCTTGTGGCAAACACACACACACACCACACACACACAAACACACACACACATATACAAATACCTCCACCACACATACAGACAGACATCCCATTACAAACAGCTCATACAACAATAGACTAACTCATTTGCATAAGAAAAGCGCGCCAAAAAATTGACATTAAGTCCGAGTAGGCGATGAAAAGATTCATTGCAGTATTATACAGGACCATCTGTGCAGCACACTTTAATCGCCGGACCCAGCGAAGGAAGGAGTGAAGGAATTGGATGAATGAAATGGATAAATGAGTGAGTGAGTGAATTGGTAGTGAATGGATGAGTGAATTGGTGAATGGATGAGTGAATTAGTTGATGATTTAATGAATTAATGCCATACTTTGGAGTACCTCCCTGTCTGTTTTTAATCTGCGGCTTCTGTGAATGAGTGGAGGAATTGGATGAATGAATGAAATGGATGAATGAATGAATGAATGAATGAACGAACGAATTAATGAATGAACAGATGAATAAATGAATGAATGAATGAACGACGAACGAACGAATGAAGATGAAGTGATGAAAGTTGATTGATTGTATATATACGTATGCATTTATGGGCCTAACAGTAATTTTAATAAACTGGATAATGGTCATTTAAATTACCGTTAGATATATTGAAAAGCTCTAACATTCAAAAGCTGAAAATTTGGTAGATTTTATCAAATGTACGTATGTATCTATGCGTGTGTATGTGTGTTTCTGTGTGCTTCTGTGTGTGTGTGATGTGTGTATGTGCGTGTGAGTGTGAACGCGTGTGTGCAATTTTAAAGAACTAACCACTGGCAGATTGATTGTTTTTTCATAAAAAATTCTTAATGAAACTCTGACGAGCTAATGAAAGGAAAAAAAATGAATGAAGGAGGAAAGAGAGAAGAATGAATGAATGAACGAATGAACGAACAAGCAAACGAATGAACGAACGAACAAACGAATGAATGAATGTATGAACTAACGAACAAATTAATGAACGAATGACCGAAAGAAAGATATTAACAAATTAACGGAAACGAGCAAACGAACAAATAAATGAACAAAAGAAAGAAAAAAATGGGTGAATGAATGAGTGAACGAGTGAGTGAATGAATGAATGAATGAATGAAAGAACATGATAAATAATGAAATAAAAATTTGATTTGATAAATGATTGAGAGAAAGAATAAATTACAGAAAGAATGAAAGAGAGAGCGATTGAAAGATGAAAGTAAGAACAAAATGAATGGATAAATAAATGACTGAAGATGCAACGGATGAAAAATGAACGAGTGAATGAACGAACTGACAAATGATTGGTTGAACGGACAGAACGATGAAATATGAATGACTAGTAAAAACGAATGAATGAACGAACGAACGAATGAATGAATGAAAAAATGGAAGAAATAAAAATGAATGGAAGGACAAGTAGACAGGGATATGTAACTAAAGTAGCTAAAGATGGGAATTTTTTTAGAACAACTGAACAAACAATTTTATATTTTGACACACGTACGTACACACACACACGCACACACACGTACACACAAACAAACAGAAAAACACACACACCTGTTGTGTAATTAAAAATAAATTATAATCCAACAAAAATATGACGGTAACTCACCCCAGATAGGATGACAAATTGAAAAATACGAACAAAATTCCATCCAACCCAGGTAAACTTTTTCACAAATAGCATACCGAAACAACAAAGATACCGAAACCGACATCACATCTCCGGTGATTTTTTTTCTCCGGTAATTTTTTTTGAATAAAAAAATTACTGACAGGACCGACATGTCATTCCGGCGTTTGTATCCTTTTGACTCGATAATACTCAAGTCGGTATTCCATTTCCGGTATTTGTATCTTCCTGATTCGATAATGCTTGAGTCGGTATTCTATTTCCGGTATTTGTATCTTTCTGATTCGATAATACTCAAGTCGGTTTTTATTCTCGGGCATGTGTAGCGCCTATTATTATTACTTTTCCTTTTTTAATTTGTATGTGCCTCGCTTGCGGAGCACGTGACCAAGAATCTGATGAGATGATTGGCTGATGGTTGGCCGATGCTGTGTTTGTATGCGTGTGTGTAGGTGTGTGTTTGTGTGTATGTGTGTGTGTTAGTGTGTGCGTGCGTGTGTGTAGATGGGAGTATGTATGTATGTATAAATGGTATTACATAAGTGTATGTGATTTACATTCGGTTAAATTTAAGTCATGTATGGTGGTGTAATATAACAGTTCTCATAAAAAATCATCATCACAATCGCAATCAACATTACATTAACACCACCATCATCATCAACAACAACAACATCAACAACAATAACAATAAAAAAAACAACAACAACAATAATAACAATAAAATAACAACAACACTCATCAGATACAAATCCTGGGCTACAACTCCGAACTTTACGACAATGCAACATACTCAATGAACGCTTCCAATGGTAATGTTGGCATTGCTCTACTGCTTTCTGTGAGTTATTATTATTTATTATTATTATTTATTATTATTATTTATCATTATAATAACTATTATTATTAATATTAATTAGGTCACTGACACGCCCAATCATAATCTGAGTCCTATAATCGATGCCCTTGACAACGTCATGTTCAAGGGTAGGCCGCTAGTTATAATAATTTATGTTAATTATGTTAATGAATGCTAGTAATAGTAATTTATGTTAATTGTGTTAATAAATGCTAGTTATAGTGATTTTTGTTAATAAATGCTAGTTATAATAATTTATGTTAATTATGTTAATAAATGATAGCTGTAGTAATTTATGTTAATTATGTTGAAAAATGTTAGTTAAAGTAATTTATGTTAATTATGTTAACAAATGCCAGTTCATTGATTCTATTTATATCCACTCAATCAGATCAGAACGTAACCATCCGCATGCCCCTGGGCGCGCTGATCCCTCCAACCATGGACTACATGACCTACGAGGGCTCCTTCACGCACCCCAACTGTTTCGAAACTGTGACTTGGATCATCCCTAATAAACCCCTCTACATCGGCAAAGAACAGGTAAGATTAGGGTTGACCCTAAAGTTAAAAGTCCAATTTTTCTTTCGTCTTGATTGACAGGCTGAGATAATTACTCTTGAATGTTCTACAAATGATAGAAATTTAAGAAAAGATTATTTTTTTAAATGTCAACATCGATTTTAGTAATTTTTTTTTCAAATTTCTGGAACCGCAGTTCAAGGCGTTCCAGAAACTGTACGACGGAGAACCTGGGAACGTGAGGTTGCCCCTGTACAACAATGCCAGACCCACCACCCCACTGAACAACCGACCAATCAGGACAAACATCAGATTGAAATCAGAGGTACGTAGACGTATGAGGGTGGGGTAATTTTGTTTTGGCGTTTCTGATTGGCTAGGGCTACTAATTGGTTTGAATGGTTGAGTAGTTTATATACTGATTGGTTGATTGACTGACTGACTGACTGACTGACTGACTGACTGACTGACTGACTGACTGACTGACTGACTGACTGACTGACTGACTGACTGACTGACTGACTGATTGATTGATTGATTGATTGATTGATTGACAAATTGGTTAGTTAAATGGATGATTGATTGACGGGCTGGTTGATTGATTTGCAAACCTGGTGTTTGTCTATTAAAAATTTTTTAAATAATTTCAGAATGAAAACTGTAACGTTGAGCGTGTTATATTCTACAAAGGTTGTAACATGACCATATGGTTGATTCATTCATTTTCTGAAATAACTCGTTATTAATTAATTTAAATTTAAGATTAATTTAAAAAAAATATAACAATTAATAATATTAATAATGACGCAATAACAATTAAAGAATAAATTTTAAAATAAAACTATTTCAAAATCAATCTTTAAACTTTAAATTTCAGCAAACATTTTGGATAGGTTTAATCCGCTCGGAACATCATCATCAAACGGAAAATAAAATGATCACACACCCCACACTCAAAAACACACGCCACACACATACGTACACGCACACACACGCCACACACACACACACACACACACACACACACACACACACATACACACTCAGTGAAAAAGAGAGACACACACTGTGTTTTGATATTGTGAATTGAATTTCAATGAATTATCTTATATTTGACATTATTAATATTAGAATCTTCGTCTTTCAGTGGCAAACCTTTCACTCTTGATTGCTATATTGATACACACACACCAACACACACACACACACATGACAAACAAACATAAGTATGTCAAAAATGTTTTTGAAATCAGAAATAGATCATTTGATTTCTATCGTACTATCTCGTGTTGGTACCTACGGCAATGTATTTTTATCGTTTAATAATCATATTTTATTTATTTTCCCACTAAAATTAACTTTTAAATACTTCCATTTTAACAATTTCGATAAGAAATAAACAAATAAAACCGAAATTCCGACGAATTAATCTTCAATTTTTATTATTTCAATCCGTGAGAAAAGCAAAAAATTATTTTTTTTGTGGGGGGCAAATAAATTAAAGACACTCGCAAGAAACGAAGTGAAAAATCATCAACTAAATAATAATAATAGTATAATATAATAATAATTTTATAATATAATAATAATGATGACGATGAACGAAATAAACTGAACAAATAGGTTATAAGACAAAAAATCTTGACATTTTGAGTGACTACGGACTGAGAATCAGCTAAACTAAGGTTCCAACTAAATAAAGGAAATACTGGGGAATGGATATACGTCAATCAAATTTACGGTGTGTGTGTGTGTGTACGTGTGTTGTATGTGTGTCTATTACATATATTTATTTCGTCATTTTTCATTGCATATTTACAATTGTGATTCGATATTTAACAACTTCATAAGGAACTACTAACCAGAAAAATCAAATAACATATCTATAATTTGAACAAAAAAATTGTTAAAAAAATTTTCCAATAAAATTATATTTTAAGATTTAAATAGCGCTTTTCCCAAAAATCAATTATCAGAACTGCGCTATAAAAATCCAACTAAAATGTTTTTTCAATCTTATCAATCATAATCTTTGACAATGAGTCCGTTGACTTCCGGTTGAAGAAATTCTTGTAGTGTCACACTTAGAAGATTTTCAAGTTCGGATTTCACAGCACTTTGATCAACTCTGCGCGGAAAAAATAATTTATTTAACTGACCAATCAGAACACTCCGATCAGATAATTAACATAATAAGACCCTCCAACGGACCAATCGAATCACAGTTGGCATCGTAAGTCCCTTTCACCGACCAATCAAATTTAAAAGAAATTCAAATTTAAATTAAACTACATACCGGCTTGCGATTTAAACCGACCAATCAGAACACTCAAATCAAACAAAACCCTCTCGATAACGAATCAAATTCGAAAAATAGAATTTCAAATTCGAACTAACCTACAGCCGGCTGGGGCAATATACTCGGAATAGTATTTAATCTTTGGCTCCGTACCGCTAGTCCTCAAGGTCATGACCACTGGAGGCTGTTCGAAGGTGAAGGTCATCATCTCGCTGCTCGCACTCACGGGAAGATTCTGATTGGTGATTGGTAGGTTGTGGCGTGAATAAATTATGTTAATGTTGGATAGATAGGAATCGAGATTGAGAAAAGAGAGAGAAAGAGAGAGAGACAGAAGAAAAATGAAGAGTAAATAAATAAATAAATAATTATTGTTATATCAGCCGGAATGGTCGTAATTAATTATTGTTATCTTGTTAAATTCGTTATCTTCGCTATCTACCATTGAGTGTAAACCAAAAAATCTCAAAAATCTACTGTCGGGGCTGTCTAAGGGGCTGCTAACAGTGTAGTTACTAGTTGTAATCATGATTTACGTAGTTATTTGAGTTATTTGTATTAGTTTGACGTCTCTATTACTGTTGGTATTCAAATAAACGTTCAACAAAGTTTGCCTTTGAGGCAGTTGTGTTCCTCTATGGGAAATCTTAAACCTACGGAATAACGAACGCTTGACGATCGATGGAAGCCACGACACTGGCGTCGGAAATATAGCGATCTTACAAGTAATAACATCGGCGTCTGTAAGTAGTAAGGCGAGCGTTACAACATTGTGAATAAAACATGAGGGTGATGATCTAACGGGTAGTTTGTTGGGTTGCTCGCTATCATAGCCGACGTGAAGGTCACGGACGTATTTGATGCTGTAACAGCCTACCTTTGTTGGGTAGATGCACTGGGGAATCATTGAGTAACTGATTGAGTGACTGATTGAGTGACTGATTGAGTGACTGATTGAGTGACTGATTGAGTGACTGATTGAGTGACTGATTGAGTGACTGATTGATTGAGTGATTGATAGATCGATTGATTGATTGATTGATGATTGATTGATTGAGTGATTGATAGATCGATTGACTGATTGAGTAACTGAATGAGTGATTGAAAGTGACTGATTGATCGATTGAGTGTCTGGCTGATTGATCGATTGAATGATTGATTGTGCATTCATTTATTAGTTCGTTCGTTTATACATTCATTCATCGACCAATTCATCAATCCATCCATCCATCCATCCATTCATTCATTCATCCATCCATCCATTCATTCATGCGTTCTTCCATCTATCCAATAATTTACTAAAAACATCCAACACTCATAAAAAAAACAAAATGCACCCCATCTTTTTCGCCGAGATGTCGGATCCGATCGAAAATCTTCTTTATGACACAGGCATCTTTGATGACGTAATACGAGTTGATGCTGAAGTGATAGCCATATCTGGAGGTGTCAATCAATCAATCAATCAATCAATCAATCAATCAATCAATCAATCAATCAATCAATCAATCAATCAATCAATCAATCAATCAATCAATCAATCAATCAATCTATCAATCTATCAACCAATCAATCAAACACTCATTAACTCATTCAATCAATCAATCAGTCAATCAACCAATCAATCAAACACTCATTCAATCGATTAATCAATCATCCAAACAGCCATTTCAACCAATCAGATTACTCAAATCAGATCATTTAATAAATGATTGAATGAATTAATTAGCATAGCGCCTAACATTTCGTAAATATTGTTGAGTTGTTGGCGCATAGTTAGACCCTGCTTGTTCAGTGAGACAGCCATGTCCGCCAGTACACAGCCAGCGCTAATGCCGTCTTTGTCGAAGACCGTCGGTCCACACATGAAGCCTGTGATTGGTCAGTTGGTTTGAGTAGATCGTCGTGATTGGCCAGTTGTTTTGAGTGGATCGTCGTGATTGGTCAGTTGTTTTGAGTCCAATTGTCGTGATTGGTCAGTTGTTTTGAGTGCGTAATCGTGATGTGTAATTGGTTAAACGTGATTTTAATTAGTTGTGATTGATACGTTGTGACACATTTAATTAGCTTTGATTGGTTGTGAGTAATTTTCATCAGTTAACATAACAATCATTCAATCAACCAACCAACTAGCTAATAGACCAACCAGTCAGCCAGCCAACCAACCAACTAACCAACCAACCGACCAACCAACCGACCGACCAACCAACCAACCAACCAACCGACCAACCGACCAATAGCTTCTTCAAACGCAAAGATGAAACTTTTTTTTGCACGAACAATCTCACTAGCAAAGGAGCCCATGTATTTAAAGCCTGTCAGAGTTTCCTACAAATGGATGAATGAATGAATGAATGAAAAAATAAACGAAAGAACAAATGAATGAGCAGATGAATGAACGAAAAAATAAATAAATGAACGAATGAATGAATAAACGAATAAATGAAAATTTTTTTTTAGTGGTATGAATGAATGAATCAGTCATTTATTCAGTCAACTAATAAATCAACCAACCAACCAACCAGCCAGCCAGCCAACCAATCAACCAACCAACCAACCAGCCAACCAATCAACCAACCAACCAGCCAGCCAGCCAACCAATCAACCAACCAACCAACCAACCAACTTTATGATTGATTCCCTCCTTAGCGCAGATGGATTTGAGGATGCGCGAGGACACTGCACTCGATGCGCACCAAGCATTCTGGGCTTAAATCATCATCATCGTCATCATCATCGTCATCGTCATCATCATCGTCATCCTCTCACCAGTCCTCCCTTTATCCTTGTACAGCTTGACCATCCACCATCCAAGCAGAGCCCCAATCTCATTCCCACTGAATATGTACCAGCCATCACTGTTTATCATTATTATCACCATTGTGTTAATATTATTATTATTATCATTATTATTATTATATTATTATTATTATTATTCGTTTGAAATAACACCTATTGGTTTTTATAATAATTTTAATCTTTCTCTATTTAAAGTTTTATAGCCGATTTCTTTCAATGACAAATTAATAAGTGTAGTAATAAGATCCTCGTACAATATCTATTGCAATAGAGACATGCCATGATACTAACTTTTAAATATATTTTACCGCACTACACTTGCCAACGCAATGAGCTGTGGGGTCTACATACACTATTATTTAATTTTATAATTTCATTAGCGCCATATTATTTTATTTCATCTATTTTATTCATTTGCTTTTAAAGTTTTGAGATCAATAAAAGAGTTTCCATTATTATTATTATTATTGTAGTTTCACCCAGAGACAAGGCGTGGAGAATGAAACTGAAACCCCGCAATTACTTTAAAACAAGCCGAAATGCAGAGATTCGCTGCTGCCCCTGGCGCGAAACGCCAGTAGACTACAAACTGGTGGATAACTTGCTTTCGGATGCAGACACTACAACTCAGGCGGTCTAAACAATTAGATACAATCTCAAAAACTCTTTACAAATTCGCTAGAGAATATATTATTCAGCTATAGCCAACCAACGCCAATCTGGTCAGATGGGGAAAGACACTAGATTCTCTATGTTCTCTGTGTGCGGCGCAAAGCAAGCCAACAAACATGTCGTGTCAAACTGTGGATCGATTGCAGCGCTGGCTAGCTACACCACCAGGCTATTTCACTCACTCACTCACTCACTCACTCACTCACTCACTCACTCACTCACTCACTCACTCACTCACTCACTCACTCCTTCTTTCATTCATTCATTCATTCATTCATTCATTCATCCATCCATCCATTCGTACCTTCCGTATTTTTCGGCAGCGGCCATCCTATCGGCGTCCGGATCGTTGGCGATGACGACAGAGCTACAAGAAGCGATAGCCGTGTTGATGGCCAGTTGCTGATTGGTCGGTTGGTTGGAGATAAATGATTGGATGATTTGATTGATCAACTATCACCACCGTTTATTAACGAAGATTGATTATCACCACCGTTATCATCATCACCACCACCACCACCACCACCATCATCATAATCATCACCACCATCCTCCTCATCATCATTACCATCGTCATCATCATCACCACCGTCATCATCATCATCACCACCATCATCATCATCATCACTACCACCATCATCATCATCATCATCACTACCACCATCATCATCATCATCACTACCACCATCATCACCATCATCATCACCACCACCATCCTCATCACCATCATCACTACTAACGAGAACATTCCTTCCTTCTTCAGGATTTGGGAATTTAACAGTCGGAAAATCAGGATTTGGTTCGACCTGTTCAGCGGGAAGAAAGAAAAAACAAAAAAAAACAATAACAAAAATAATAATAATAAAATAATAATAATAATAATAATGAAAGAAATAATAAGAACCTGTTCCTTTACGGGCACCAGCTCTTTGAACTCGAAGACGCTGATGAACGCCTCCTTGAAGAATTTGAAGCCAACTCCATGCATGCCCGTGTAGGTGAACCTCAAATTCGTCTGCTTGTTCAGCTCTCTGGTAGGAGGAAGGTCGTTGGGTGGGTGGGTGGCTGGTTTTTTAGCCATCTAGCTAGCCAACCAACCAACCAACTGACCAATCAACCAACCAATCAATCAACCAATCAATCAACCAACTGACCAACCAAATGACCAACCTGTTAGTACAGAGGCACCCGAGTGCCTTCATGTAAAGGGTCTTAACCTCTTTAAGAGGGTCCTTAACGAGATGGTGGTCTCTGAGGTTACAAGTTTTCCAGGATTGTGGCCAGGGCTGGAGGTTCTGCAGTATCTTCTTCTCGATCTCCGAATCAGTCGGTGACATAATCTAAGATGGAGGTGGTAATGGTGATGTGGTGTAGTGACGATGATGACGTTATGTGACGATGTGATGACGATGATGACGTCATAACGACAATGATGTTAGTGGAGATGACAAAGAGACAGGTGGCAGGCAGACGTACAACTAACAGACCTGCGCACCATTACTAGCGTACACCTGTCGGAATCAAATTATAAACTTTTTAATATCATCATCATCATCATCATCATCTTCATCATCATCCTCATCCGTACCATCATCATCATCATCATCCTCATCCGCATCATCATCATCTTCATCATTCGCATCATCATCACCATCCTCATCATCCATCATCATCATAATCAATAGCAGCAGCAGTAGCTGATGACGACCTTGTATCCGTTATCTTCTTTGGGATTATGAGAAGCCGTAACCATGATACCCCACTCGCAGTTCTTCAACAGAGTTCCATAAGCCTGATGATGATGATGATGATGATGATGACGGTGGTGATGATGATGGAACAGGTTACTCATTCACTCAATCACTCACTCAATCACTCACTCAATCATTCACTCTTTCACTCACTCATTCACTCACTCACCACAAGAGGAGTGGGCACCATCTCAGAGAATAGATAGACCATTATTTCCTGACTGACCAGAACGGCAGCGGCCAGTTCAGCAAACCTGATGATGATGATGATGATGACGACGATGATGATGATGATGACGACGATGATTAGAATCATAACCATCGCTCCCTTTATCACCCACCTTTTCATAACCATAAACAAATATAGCATTATCAACATCCTCTACCATCATCATCATCATCATTACAAGCTCCTCTATCACTGTCATCATCATCAACGCCACGACCATAATCACCATCACCTTTTACTATGATGTCTGCCGTCGTATCCGATGAGCACACCCCTCTCGAGGACATCGGGCGAAGTGCACAGCATATACTTACAGAACCCCTGCATAAATTTGCATAAATTATTAACTCACTAACATAATTCACTCACTTTTTGACATAAGTTGATATTTGCTACTGTATATAATAATAAGAATGATAATAATAATAGTAATTCAACTCTTAATTAAAACAATTTTCAGTTTCACATACTTGAAACCAAAAATATTAAGCACAAAAAAATGTTTTATAATAATAATACAAGTATACACATATATATATACATACCCAGACACACACATACACAGACATAATTTGCATAATTTATTCTTGACATATCTAGAGTACCTGGGTTGTTTGAATAACAGTAAGGTCATTCATCCTTGAATAACCTGCTCCCATTGGTGCTCTCAGACCTTGGCATTGAATCAATTATGAATAAATTATTATAATTCATGAATAAATCATAATAAATTAGTGCACTTACCAGCAGTGCCAAACTTCATCCTGTTGATTAGGCGTTTGCTAAGTTCATCATAGTCTTTCCTAGCCTTTAAACACTCTATTTCTTCTTTTGTTTCTTTGGTCTAATCAACAATTATTCTTAATTATGTGATTTTATTCATACAATGACTTGACAAAATTTAATTTTTTGGCTGCAATACTACAATTGATAAACAGTAACCTAACTAAGTTTAATTAAAGTTTAAATACTAAAAAATTTTAAATTTAAATTTTAAATCTTATTTTAAAAATTAGAAGTATAATATACTTTGTCCCATGCCAGCCATTCAGCAACTTTTTCATTCAGAACCTCGTCCGGCGATTGCATTGCAAAATATATTACTAATTCCTAATAATTTTATGAATTTTTTTTTAAATTTTAAAAGTTTTACAAATTTAAACTTTAAAGCAAAGTATTGCAACAGATCACAAGCAAATTGAAATTGAAACACTTTTTCAAATTCAAATTGATCAAATTACTGAATGAAAATTCAGAAAATATATATCAAATTAATTATTTAATTATTAATTTTTATTTAATTTTATTAATTTAGATTGAAAATGAGCAAAAAGGAACTGAAAAAATTAAAAAAGATTCCACTTTTTGACACTTTTTTAAAAACTAAAAGTGATCAATATTAGAAAAGTAAACGGTTAAATGTGGTTTCATTTTCTGTTTCCATCATCATCAAATTTTTATTTTTTTTTACAATTAATAAATTTTTACAATTAAATTAAATAAATTTATTTTTTGTTATTAATGTTTTATTACATTTTTTCAAGCCATTTGACCTCTTATTTTGCGATTTTTTAAGTTTACAAAAAATATAATTATGAAAGTAGTTGAATTTACAATTTTTTTATATAAATATTAATTGTAAATAATTTTTATTTTTTAAATAACAAATTTTATTGATAATAATTGTAAGAGATTAAATTGTGAATTTGGCACCATTTATCTAGGCACAAATCGAATGTATATGTATCTAACTAATCTCACAGTCATTAGTCATTTTTTGTTTTGGTGATACTTAATTTTAAAATATTTCAAATAGATAAATAAATTTGACGTTTATTTTTTTTCCGATAACTAATTAATTAAATAATAAATAATAAATAATGTTGAATAAATACGTCAAAGCGATTCACCCGTTCAAACCCACTCATACAGATGAGGTAGATTCTTTTTATTTTCAATTTTTAAATGGTTTAATTTTTAATAATGATAATAGATATTTAATTTATTTGAAATTTTAATAAACATTAGTTAATTTATTTAAAGAAATAAATGGATAAAAAATATTTTGTAATAAATAACAAATTAGATTTTTCAAAATGGTTTTTTTTTTCTTTCATTTTTATTTTATTTTATCTTTAGTTAATTTAATTAAAAAAAACTCATTCCTACACACAAAAAACTAGTTAAAACTTTTCTACAACAGCTCTGCTTCCAAAAAGGAGACCTAATTTTAGTGACCCAGGCTATAGATGGCGGTTGGTGGGAGGGTACATTGAATGGGTTCACCGGATGGTTTCCTAGCAATTATGTCACTGATACCATTGTAAATAATGGTGAGTTTTTGTGTTAGTTAGTTGCTGGTCTTTGTTGTTGTGTTGGTTTTGTGTTGCATTTTGTAATATAAGTTTACTTTTATATAACTAATACTTAATTATAATATAAATTTAGTTTTATTATTGTGATTAATTGATTGTAATTATTCATTTAGTTATCTATTTGTCTCTTTTATCAATAAATCACTTATTCTTCTACTTGGTCACTCACTCAATCATTCATTCATCAATGCAGTCAGTTGATCAATCAAACATTCACTCATTTATTTATCAGTTAATCTTGCTTTATTCATCTTCTTGATCAATCGGTTAGTCATTCATTCATTCACTTCTTGGTTAGTTAGTCAATCAATCATTCACTCTACCAATCGTTCATTCATTCATTCATCCTCTCTACCAATCATTCATTTGATCATTTTTCTCTCTCCAGACAAAAACATTTTAACAAAAGCAACAACAAACGGAGAGTCGAAGAGTTTTGAATTAGAGAACACTGAAGAAACTGCTAACAGAGAGTTGGTTAGTACTACGGCTACTACTACTACTGCTACTACTACTACAACTACTACTACTACCTACTACTACTACCTACTACTACTACTACTTCTGCTGCAGCTACAACTACTGCTAGTACTACTACTATTACATTTAATAATGATGACGATGATGATGATGATGATAATTATTAATAATAATTTCCAAGGTTATGGAAAGCCTAAAGAACTTGGAGAAAGTTTTTATAATGGAGATGAGAATACTGTTGAAAGATTATCTATGCTCCCATGAGTTTAAATCCATGTTGGACTCATTTTTTAATTTTTGTCTTTTACTATTTCGTTTCCTCATTCATTCATTCGTTTTCTCATTTACTTATTCATTCATTTATTCGTTCGTTCGTTCGTTCTCTCATTCATTAATTCATTCATTCAAGTAAAATATAATATGCATTGCACACACTCATACGCCTACATGCAAACATACATTCACACATGCATACACACGAACACCCACAAACACACACACACCGTATATACACATACATATAAACATACACACACATGTATTCACACACACGCACACGCATACCGTACATACACATACATACATACAAACACACACACGCACACACACACACACACACACAGACTTCCCAATCCAGAGCGGGCTCAGCTGATAACTTATGTTGAAGACTTAATAAATTTGCATGCCTCAACCTTGAGAGATATTGAATGCACCCTGGAGTAATTTATTATTATTTTTAATATTAATATTATTATTATTTATCATTGTTATTATTGTCCATTTATTATTATTATTATTAAATATTGTTGTTGTTGTTGTTATTAATTTTATTGTCTGGCTTACAAATTGTTTCTATCATTCCTAATTGCAAGTTAAACTTTTGTGCAGATTGGTCGGTTAAAAATAATTTGTGTTGTGATTGGTCAATTAAAATTATCTGAATCTCAATTGGTCGGTTGAAATAATCTGAGCTATGATTGGTTGACAGGCTACCGGTAAACAACCAGCGGATTGGCCAGTTGTTTTTGAGGCTATCCAATCAGATGCTAGCATGCCACAGAGGCTATTGTTCCTTACACCCAAGAGTGGCTACACTCTTGCTGACCAAAAAGTAGTTGTGATGATGATGATGGGGATGATGATGGTGGTGATGATGATAATGATGGTGATATTGATAATGATGATGAGGTGATGATGGTTGGACGTCACTACTACTACAGAGAGGAACTAAACAAACTAGTCGAGACTCGCTCCACCAACGCCCTGCCACCACCCCCATCATCATCATCATCATCAGTACTTCCTCCGTCATCATCATTATCAGCACCTGCGTCGTCTGGAGCCATGTTACTGACTGGCTTGCTGTCGAAGCCGTTCAGGATTGTAGAGAGGTACCCCACTGTGCTGCAAGAGATCGACAGGCACACTATCGTATGTGTTCTCGTTCGTTCGTTCGTTCATTTTTTCGTTCGTTCGTTCGTTTTTTCGTTCGTTCGTTCGTTCAATAGCTTGTTTGTTTGTCTGTTTGTTTGTTTGCTTGTTTGTTTACATGTTTTGTGCGGATTTAGTTTGTCTGAGTGTGTGTGTGTATTTTTATTCGAGTGTTGTAAAAGAGCGAATTCTAAATATGGCTCAAACATATTTTATTTCATCATTTCAATTACCATCATTATCGTCATTATCTCCATCATCATCATCTACGATATCACTATTATCAGGAGAACCATATAGATGGGGCAGAGTTAAGTCAGGCAGCCATTATGTACAGAGATATATTCGTATGTTATTTGCTACTGATTGATTGACTGATTGATTGATTGATTGATTGATTAACGTTTTGTGTTATATATGTATATATTATGTCTGTCTGTCTGTCTCTCTTTCTTTTCTCTCTCTCTCTCTCTTTCTTTCTTTCTCTCTCTCACGTCGGTATCATCATTAGTATCATTACAGTCATCTGTCATCATTAGTATCCATCCATCTATCATCGTCATCATCATCATCAGATGATGTGCAGCGAGATAAGGAGGCGGAAAGAGATGGAGCAGGATATACTATCATCTGACATCAGAGGATGGAAGGGAGAGGTAGTCACAATGATGATGGTGGTGATAGTGATGACGACGACGATGATGATGGTGGTGATGAATATGATGATGATGATGGTGGTGGTGGTGGTGATGATGATTGTCATTGCGATTAAGATTATGGTCACGATGATTTTTTGACAACCTTAGCATCATGTTGTTCCATTTTGAGGATCATATTTGTTGTTTCACCCATCCATCCATCCATTCATCCATCCATTTATTCATTTGTCCACTCATCCATCCATTCACTTATCAATACATTAATTCACACATCATCCATCCATCTATCTATCGAGTCAGTCAGTCAACCATTCGGTCATCATTCATTCATTTACTTTTTTATCCATTCATTCATTAAATCATTTGTTCGTCTATTCATTCATTCATTCATTCATTCATTCATTCATTCATTCATTCATTCATTCATTCCATCCATCACAGCTTCTCTCACAGCTTGGAGGTATACAGTTACTAAGTCATTGTCGAGTCATAACGACAACAACATCATCCACATCGTCACAACAACAACAACAACAACAACAATCATCATCATCACAACAACAACAACAACAATCATCGTCGTCATCATCGAACGTTGTCGATTTGTTGGAAAGCAAGAAAGATAGATTGTTGTTGTTGTGTAGTGGTTTCGTTGTGCTCTTGTCAATTTCGCCAAGAAGTAGTGGCTACAGTTACGAGGTTCGAGATTTTTTTTTTTCTACCATCAGAATGCTATAAGTTCGTCTGCATTGTTAAACGTTTTTCCCGCCATTTCGCCATCCAGGGCCGGATACCCACCTACGGAGCCACGGTCAACGCCCTGGACGATATTGTCGTAGCGACTGGCGTCGGCGGTGACGACGACGAAGCCGCTGCCGATAGGGTTGTCCTGGAATATGTCTTTGAGATCATTGGTCGGTTTGTTGTCTTTGGTACTTTTATTTCTTTGGTGTTGTTTTTTTTTTTAGAAAATATTTAGGTTTAGATATTTTATGGGAATTTTAAAATATTCTACTTTGTTGGCAGTTAGTGATCTGCCTAGCCAATGAACACTCCATCTTAATGTACACACACACACTACACACTACAAACACACACCACACGAAACAGTTGACAACAATGGCCCAATGACGTCATCATCATCATCAACAGCAGCAGCAACAACAGCAACAGCAACAACAAACAATGACAGCAACAACAACGACACAACAACAACATCATCAACAACATCAACAAACAAGAGTAGTAGTAGTAGTATGCGTTATATAATATTATGCAACTCAAATCAAGAGAAAATGACTTGGCTGCAGACCTTGAAACAACCCGTCAGATTGGGACCTGCTAATGTCGCTTATAAGCATTTGAATAAAATGGTGTGTTGATGTTGTTGTTGTTGTGGTGTTGTTGTTGTTGTGGTGTTGTTGCTGATGCGTTTTTGATGTGTTCTTGGTGTTGATGTTGTTGTTGTTGCCATTGATGTTGTCGACTTTTCCATTGTTGTTGATGTTTTGTTGGGCACGTTGTGAGCATGCACCAATTTTAAATCCTCCACCTCTCCCCCATCCCTCCTTTAGAATTCACCAAGCACAAAACACCAGCTGACTTCACTATCATCGTCTCCAGTTACACAACACAGCAATCCACTTCCACCACCATCATCATCAACAACAACACCTCAACAACAACAACAACACGCCGGCAATAGATCTAGTTTGTTGTTCAACTTATCTCAACAAAAACAACAACAGCAACCGCAACAACACCCTCCAGCCCCGCCTCTTCCTTTGTTTACCCCGTCTGGCCTGCACCACCACCAACAACAACAGCAACACAACAACATTTATGCAACGCCCCAACAACAAAACATTTCATTTGTTGGCGAGTACAACCCAAACGAAGTCACCCTACCAAACAGTCAATTCTACTTGCCGTCTTTCGTTTCAATCAGCAACAACAACAGCAGCAGTAGCAGCAGACACCCCAAGAAGCTGAATATATCTAACCTTCGACCTTACCCTCCCCTGCGACCTTCCTTCAGTTTCAAGGACGACGGGGCACGCAGTCCTAGGTTCAATAAGAGAATAATGGGGTCCAGTCGCAAGAAACCAGGTCCGGTTTTTCGTTTTGGTATATTTTCTTTGTTTAGTTTTCTTTGGTGTGATTTAGTTTTTTTTTGGTTAGTTAGGATTAAGAAACGTGATTGATTTAAGATGATTGGAACATTGATTATCGTCATGACGTTTGTGCATGTGTAGGTGAGGTCGCTAGTGGTGGTGATGGTGATGATGGTGATCGTGGTGATGATGGGGATGGTGGGGATGAGGATGATGATGAGGAGGATGAAGAAGATAATGATGATTTTGTTGCGTTTGTAACAATGATACAATTTCAGTTATTTCCGTCATTGTGTTTTTTTTTGCTCCTCTTGTAATTTTAAAAAGAAAATAATATAATTACAGAACAACAATAATAATTAATAATAATAATAACAATAATAATAATAAATAATAATATTAATAATAATAAGGAGAACGAACTTCTTCTCAAGAGGATTGCATGGTTTATAAGAAAAGTTGGTTTATTGTAGTAATAGTAGTAGTGGTTGTAGCAGTAGTGGCTGTCGTAGTAGCGGCAGTAGCAACAGCCGTAGTAGTTGTAGTAGTAGTAGTAGTAGTCTTATTGTTAGTGTAGTAATAGTAGTAGTAGTAGTAATTAATTATTTAGTTAATTAGTTAAGGAGTTGTATGTATTGATATATACATATGTTCTTTAACATATTAGGCATTATTTTTGTATAACTTATGTTGAATTTATTTAATTCATATCTTATCTTTATGTGATTTTTATTAACTATTTTTTTTATTTTCGCTTTTATTTAATCCTTTCATGTTTAGTCAATTATTACGCATTTCGTTCATTCATTCATTCATCCATTCATCTCTCTCTCTCTCATTCTCTCTCTTTCTCTCTCTCTCTCTCTCTCTCTCTCTCTCTCTCTCTCTCTCTCTCTCTCTCTCTCTCTCTCTCTCTCTCTCTCTCTCTCTCTCTCTCTCTCTGTTTAATCAATCACTCGTTTCGTTTGTTCATTCATTTATTCATTCATCAATTCCTCTCTCCCTCTCTCTCTCTCTCTCTCTCTCTCTCTT